ATAGGGTGAAGAAATACTTTAATAAAATTGTATTTAGTATATAGAAATGAAATAAACATTATGTTGACATTTTTGCTAGTAAAACAAACAAACAAACAAAAACCACGATTGTTATTCAATTCATCTACATGGTCCAAGACTGGATCTAAATCGGCTAATTCACAGAGCGTCCATACGAAAACCGTCTAAGTTGCCATGGTCAGAAACAAAAATGGTTCCACCGTAACACGTGCATTAGCTAATCATAGTGTTAAGTTTCGACACATTTTATCTCAGTCGGATAAACTGGTGGTAGCCACTGTGTACGCGCTTACCCGTTGAGATCTGTTGGTCCCAGGTTCAAGTCCCATCGCTACTCTTCTTGTATTTCAGCAGGAGGACGGAGATGCCAATCTGGGATATTAATTATAGTAGTGGTTGGGGGGGGGGGGTGGTCATGGTAGAAGCGTCCCTGGGTAACTTCAATTATACCACCAAAACAAGTTATACATGGACACTTGTATCACAACGTCAAAGGTTTCTGTGGACATGATAAAAATACGAAGGAGAATTACAGTAGGCCCTATAGTAACTGGGGCGGATGCACGATTTGGCGTAGGGGTGCGCAAGAGTCCACACACCTCAGCCCCACCATGGTTGGGGCTGATGTGCGACAGTTTTGAGAATATGCACCTCTGGTGCCCAGAAATTTGCACTCTCATACCAGATTTAATTGAATTAAATTTATCTTCATATCAACAATACAACAATTATTTGTCTTAATACAATTTGGGGGATGCGAACGCACCGTCTGCACCCCCCACCGGTCCCAGTGTTACTAATTCTTACCAATACCGTATCGTATAGTGGGCTCATCACTTGAATAACCGAGTGCAAAAAAGAAAATCACTGCAACAGCTCGACAATCACTCCTAAATAAGTTACCGGTATAATGTTAAGGGATTTGCTACAATCTACCATCCTTGGAAAGGAACTAATCAGTTAGGCCCTATTATAGTGGTTAGAAGGTGATGCGAGGGAGTTTTAACCCGTAACAAAACCCATCAATAATAGGACGCTAATCTGGACGTACTTGACAAGGTACATCATTCAATGATACTTTTATTTTAGATAATAGAAAATTGTTAATGTCCATCCATCTATATTCATTGTTCTTAACGTTTTTTGTTTTTTGTTTTTTGTTTTTTTTTCTATTTCATTGTTTAGTATCGGGGTTGTTATACTGTGTTTGTGTATAGGCATGTCCTTTAAATCTTTCTTCATTTGACTTTTTCAATTGTTTATGACTCTTCCTACAGGTCGTTTTATTTCTTTTGTAATTCCTTTACTGTATTTAAAAGCTGCAGTGGTGATAAAGATAATTAATTTTTAGAAAACGTACGATTCGAACACAAAGGCCTTCCGATTACCGTTCGAATTCTCAACCAACTGCGCCGAGGCAATGTTATACACCTCTGTGTTTTCCTATTTAAACAACTGGCCAATCATAACAGGGCTAAAAATAGGCGCGTCTCACCAACACGCGTTGTCAACAAACACAAAGTGTTGCGTGTGTTTTACACTTTTGTTTTGTGGCTTTGCAGTGTGACGCTTAAAAATTAATTTATTATATAGGCCCTACTACAATAATACCCAAAAGTGAAAGTTCAAGCGAATAATTTCACTTTTTCCATGGCGTTTACCATTCTCTCGATTGATTGTTCACTTAAATAGTGAAAAAATTAATGTAAACAATTACTACGAGGCTACACACAGAAGCTAACATTAATATACCTTCCTCCGTTTTAGGCATTGATAGACACTTATGGATGGAGGGGCGCATTGGCCATACTAGCCGGAATGCATCTACATATAACAGTTGCATCTATGATGATGAATTCACAAGTCGGAAGAGTTAAATCATTGACCTCTCGAACAGATTATGAAGAACCCGCGGGCAACACTTCAGTTAAAAAATCCACTAGCACTTTTGATAGAATTTTAGAAATACTTCATTTAGATGTGTTTAAAAGTAATTCGCTGTTGTTAGCACTATTTCTATCTGGAATTTGTGCTGGCATTGGAAACGCAACATTTTTTTTGTCTATAGTTCCGCATGCTGAACAATCTGGCATCGCTCCATTTATCGCCAGCACTTTGGAGATTCCACAAGTTTTTACATGTTTAATAGTTAGAGCATCCTTAATTTTTGTTCATGGAGCTGATGTTGCTCTAGTAATTTATATTTTTGCAGCGGCACAGTTTGCAGAATTTCTTGCATTTTTCGTATTAACGGTTTGGAACACTGTAACTATGTTTTGTGTCGGTTCAGCTTTACATGGATTCGCGATGGGATCGCAATGGTATTCAATAGCGAGTTTGCCGGCGCTCTTAGTCACGAGAAAGGAATACTTGGACTATTCGATTTCTTGGTGTCTTGCCTCTGAAGGAATAGCAGCAATAATCACAGCATTTATAGGTAGGACCAAAGATACTAGAAATACAAGATAGAGCACTCGCATAGCAAAAGTGCTCATACTTATATGGGGAGCAACACTGCCTCGATGGTATAATTGGTATACGGATTCTGCTCGAAATTCTTCAGGGAATTAATTTGGATTTTCAACGAGGCGTATAGAGAACCTTTATATTTCTCTGTTGAATTTATATCATTTACAAAAAAATAAAAAAACAAACAAACATGATACCACTTTTCTCTGTCGAGGGAATGTTGCTCCTTTTGCAGTGCACGATAGGTGGAGCCCTTGGCTTATCCTGGGGTGGAAGGTGCTGATGTTCAACATATTGCCTTTGAGTATCTGCGCATACCTATATGGTTATATATACAACATCGCCTCGATGGGATAATTGGTATACGGATTTTGCTTGAAATTCTTTTGGGAATTAATATGGATTTTGTTTAATTTTGTGGTGTAATTGACACTGCGCCTTGACCACCACGTGTGCTTTATAAATCTTTATTATTATTATTATTATTATTATTATTATTATTATTATTATTATTATTATTATTATTATTATTATTATTATTATTATTATTATTAAAAGTGAGGCGGATATACGTCACGTCTTTTACGCAGATCCAGTCATAAGCGGCGTGCGATTTTTTTTCCCGTACGAGACATTTGCATTTGCATGAAACTCTACTCGGGCCGTCTCGGATTGATTCGACTTGAGTTCGATACGAACAAGTGCAGGCACTTCGCAATGTCGTGACGCTCGATTATTCTATTACCTTTACTGTGCTGTTCTTTATATTTACCTACGGCAGGCCTATAAAATCTTACCGATTTATGGGATGTAGGCTACGTCTGTAACTAACTGTGAGCTTCTTGTATGTTTGTTATCAAATGTATTACTACCTACAACAACAGCTAGTAGCCCCTTCTATAGGGTGTAACGTACCAATAGTAAACATAGGTTCCTACCAAAGGCTAGAGCAAAAGAGGCTAAACTAGTGGGCCTAGTTACAAGCTGAGTTAGTTCCTACTTGCTAGCCCCCACCAAGGCTTCGCATGCTATTGATTGAAATTTTGAAAAAAAAAATTAAAAACTAAAATTAAAATGGGACAGTGAGTAAAAATATATTATTAAATAATAATTAATTAAATATATCATTCCAGCATTAATAAACTTGGCCTAGGCCTAAGCCTTGTAATGTAATTAATATTAAATAATAATAATAATAATAATAATAATATTAATAACAATAATAATAATAAAAAAAATAATAATAATTAAATAACCATATATAATTTCGCAATTAATTAACTTAGCCTAAGCCTTATAATCAAGAAGCACCTCTACAATACTGTATTAGGCCTATAATTAACAACTAGGCCTCATTATGCATTGGTACGCTGCTATTTTGGCAGGTCCTATGATGGCATCCTTATTTTAGAGCTGTCTATTCTCATTTTTTCTTTTAATTTCAAAATAATTGTCACTCTGTTTCATATTTGATCAATAAATGCTGTTTTTATCTTCCTCTTTGTGCTTTCCCCTGAAATCCTCTATCTCAGAAGTTTTTGAAGACGTTTATCTTTGGTTGATGACCTTTTCTTGACATCCAGAATTGAGTCGAGTCAGTCGAGACAGCTTGAGTGGAGTTTCATGCAAATGTTTCGTACGGGGAAAAATCGCAAACGGGCCGCCAAAAGTATTCACCGTGATGTAAAATTTTAGGGGCAGAAGTTTTTTTTTTAGATCAAGCCGTACGTGGCACCCCGTTTTGTTTGTATTCCTACCATGCATTTCGGTGGAACACTTTTTTTTCTGTGGAGATCTCTATCTTATGTTTCTAGTATCTTTGGTAGGACATTTATGTACATCATGGTGAAATAATTCGGTATCGATGTTGCTTTAATAATAATAATAACTTAATTTGAAACATCGCTTTTAAAAAAGTGGCACACGCTCTTATGTTGTGTTCGTAAAAGTAGCATTATACAACATAAAACCAGATTCAATAAAATACGATACAAAATTGCACAAATGTTGAATTATTAGACATTAGACATCACCTAAAACGCCCGTTAAAAAGCTCAATGAGGACCTGTTGTAGAAATATTTAAAAATATACCGGTAGATATACGGATATAAAAGAGATACGGTAATAAAAAAATAAATAGGATAACAGTCTTGGAGTTAAGCTGAATAGCTTATGGTCTTCTAATCCCATAAGGTTAAATTATATAGGCCTAATAATTATCAAAGGAAGGTAAATACAGTGTTAGAATAAAGGACATAATAATAAATCGTGTATTATTGAAATTGTGTATTAAAATGCCTATAAAATTTAACAGTGTTAAATTAAGACCTATATAATTTAACAGTGTTAACGGCTATCTTGATTTATATTATATGCAACTATTTGTTTCTAGCCGTATTTATTGTGTAATGGAGTGTATCTGGTGGTATTTGAATCTGTTCAACCATGAAGCCTCTGTGGTCTAATGGTTATGACGCTCGCCTTGACAGCGAGAGGTCGCAGGTTCGAG